ATACAGGAAAAGTTTTTTTAATAAATCAAATCTGTTTTGGAGGGAAAACTTTACTTCAGGACAAAGAAAAAAAAGGAGTGTTTTAGTTTAATTATCTCGCATCTAATTAAAGGGAGAGACATCTGCTTGCCTCAGTAAAATAAGAGTGTCACACTTTTAATTAAAGATTCAAGTCCTAAAGTTTCTAAGGATTAAATCATGGAATAAAGCACACACTGTTTAAAATCATGAAATAAAAGAAACATCTTCTTCAGGAGTCCATCTGTAAACAATCAAACATAATACACACAGCTATTGAATAGTTAACTAAGCAAAACTTAGTAGATCTTTTATGGTCTTTTTAGTAAGAAAAATGGATTAAATGACATTCTTTGCAATAAGACAGAAAACATTAGATACACAGATTCCTTTATCTTTTCTCCTTTTTTCACATTTAATGAAGAATGTAGATTCCTTTGTTCTCAGTCACGCCAAAGAGTCTGGTTAAAGGCATTTATGATCCCTTTGAAGAGGAACCAACAGTCTTGTGCTTATGAGGTCACAACAGAACTTGTGGGGTTCGGAACAGGAATGTGGCAATTCTTATCTATTAACAGGAAGGCGTCAGGACGTCTGGTGGGGGTTTGTGTGAGAGATGTTAATTCGAGCCACAAAGGAAGTTCCATGCAAAAATCTTTAGGAATAGTCTGAGGTCAAAGTGGGGGTTTTCTTCCTTTCTGAGCTGTTGTCATAGGAACAAGTGAAATCTAATCAGAAATGATTATTTATATGCAGGAAAATGCTACACACCAAACAGGGGACATTGAAAGGAGGAAGAAAGTTTTATTCTCTGATGAGAAAAATATTAACCTTGACAGCCCTGATGGCTGTCAACTTTACTTGCATGACAAGGAGATCCCACCTGAGATGTTTTTTTCACAGCATAGTGGAGGGGGGCACCATCGTGATCTGAGGGGCTTTTTCCTTCAGGCTTCAGATTGTGCAGAAGCCTCAAATGGCAGCTGGCTACATGGAGATGTTACAGGGGCTATCCCTCATCACTAAGACCATCATCTGTGTGGTAATGACTGGGTCTGCCTGGCAAAGGACTTCTTCCAAAGAATAACATCTCTCTTTTGGACCATCCTGCATGTTCCCCTGATTTAAATGCATGCAGAACCTTCTTACGATCCAACAGTGCAAAATGAGAATTCTTGCCATTTTTCAACTGGTCTTAACWTTTTGATCAGGACTGTATTAATATTCAGGTGGCACTTGTGAAATGCCCTGTAGCCAATTTAACAAAGTCTATTAGACTCCTGAAAGCTTTCAAATGATGTGGTTAGCTTAGCAAATACTTTGTCGGCGGAGGGAGAGTGGATAAGAATCTATTCATCCATCCATTTGTCCATTTTCTGTACCCACCTAATGCAGTTCAGAGTTGAAGAAGGTAAGTCGCTAGCAATGATCCCCAGTGGTCAAGAAGCAGGAGCCAGAATCCACCCTGTCAGTGCATCACAGAGCCAACACAACACAAACRACTATTTCTACACACTCACACCTTAGAAATACTTTGAATAACCAGTTGACCTAATGTGCATGTTTTTGGACTGCAAGCTCACACATTCCAAAGGAGACAATGCAAGTCTATGCAGAAAGACCACATGTAAGAGTTGAACCCAGGACTACTTGTTGAGAGGAAACACTAATCAATGCTGTGCTGACAGGTGGAGTTACTAGCACAACCCAACATCATGGCTGCCACACAGGACTCATCATTTACTCATCATTTCTCTTATCAATGAAAAAAAAAAGATAATCTATTTCATGTCATTTGCTAACTCTGTAACTGTGCTCCCAATTTTATAACACGGTGACACTGATCCTGGCAAGTGGCCACTGCAGAACTTAACCCACAACTCAGGGGCTTTTTAATAAAAAAAAAACACTTTCATTTGTAAGTTAGTTGAAGATTTGAAMGTTTGAGAACAAACCAGCGTGTTTGTTATTGGCTAAACTAGACACAACCAGCAACTACTCAGTCTTCACACGGACACACCCATRTCACATGTTTGGATTGACTAATATTTCCTGAATGTGGAAGAGGTTTCTGAACCTGCAGCTCAGTTTGTTGGTCTGACTTCATGTCAGCAGCATTGCTACCTGCACTGACCTAAGAGTGACTCAGCTTCCAGTGGCAGTATCTTTAGTTTTCTCCATTCTTTGGTCTCTCCTTGTTTTTGCCTTGCCTTTATCCCCCCACCCTGCCCCCTCTCTTCTTTTGTCCATCTTGTCTTTGTTTTCGGCTGTGGCTTATAGTTGGAGGCACTATGAACGGCTACTGGAGCGACAGCCCGTGGTAGAAGAAGAGCGGATGCCAAATGTCCAAGAAGAAGTGAGAGAACACAACAACGAGAACAAACAAATGCATTGTAGATGAGTGACATCACAGTTTGCTCTGTGGCCAGACTTGCATCTACCTCTGTACAAAGATGCACACATCAAGAYGAATGCACCATCCTTTACTTTTGTTTGTGGGAAAAAAAGAAAAAAAAGAATAGAATTATTTCCMTTTTACCTCTGATGCTCAGCAAGTTGTATTTAACCATTTTGTGTGGTTTTTTTCAAATCTAATATAACATTATGTTAAAATAATTTTACTTTAAATTCTGTCCAGAGTATTTAATTTCACTCATCTTGTTCACAACTTTAAAACGYTGTACCTCGTTTTGGCTGATATGTGAAATGATAATTTCTTACATTTTTTTTGAAAAACTGAAGTCTAATTCGTTGAACGTCCCCTGACTTTAAATATTTTTCAATCTGCTCAAAAGTTTAAYAACTTCTGACATGTTTAAACAATTKGTTGGGGGTTACAAGGTTAACAGTCTCTTCAGGTTCTGTAGAAATGCTAAGTTTGACACCAAACTGATGTTTACTTACAGCTGTGGCTTGAAATGAGCAGAGAACACTTTAAGACTTGTCTTCCAACACTTCTGAGGATCACTTCAACAACAGTCAATATAGTCGAAATCAAACTTTCACAAACMTGTAATGAATATGTAACAGTGATTTCAGTGTTTCAAGTTTTACCACAAAAAACTGAATTTCTTATATAATTAGGTTTGAATACAGTTTAAATAAAATAAAGGCGTGTTGTGTCATAATCTTCAGAAGTGTTGATTAAAAGCTGTGATTTAAGAAAAACTTCCCTGCACTCAGCCAGCGAGGACATTTTTGTTTCCATTTTCTGTCTCAGCATTTTAGGGGTTTCAGATAAATCTGTTTTCTGTCACAGCTACACCGAAACTCTTTGTTGATTGTGAAAACAACAAAAAACCTGTTTTTCAAGGTTTTCCTTCATGTTACACATAATGTTTTTGTGTGAAATGTAAAAACTCTTCTCTAGTTCACCTCCCTAGGTTCTTTTTTTTTTTTTTACGATTGTCCGGTTTTAACGACGCACTTTTCTCATAACGATGTCGGTTTGTGTTGCATGGGCTTCCATCAYAAGCAATAAGGACTAACAATGTGAAAATGTTTTATAGATTTGTTTAAAGCCTAATGAATGTGTATAGACCATTAAGAGAGCGTATGAGTTCAGAAGCATGAGTATGCACAGGCAAAAGCATGCAGGACAAAACTATATATTTATATTTAGCCTTTTGGAAGCAAAAAGATGTGGGACAGGCCAACATGTTGCATGTCAAAATGCTTTGATGCTCTTGGTTTAACAGCTCAACTTAAGTACTGTAGGGGACAGGTGGGGGTGGTTATTGTGGGTGGGGGGTGTTTTTACTAGAAGCTTTTAGCAGCTTTCATATACTGTAGGTCTTGAAATACTTGATTTGTACTTGTTTTTTTTATGAAGAACTGTTTGAAAGCTCTGCATTTGTTCTATATATGCAAACAAGCATCGTTTGTGTACTAATGCAAAGAAATCTGAAGAAAAAAATGTTTTGCTGTTTTCTCCACTCCTCCTCTGTGAGGGAGGACATCAGACCTGTCTCATCCTAAAGACTGAAAGGACCATCAGTTTGCTGTCATCATCTGTCCTGTCTCTGTCCCAYCATCTGTCCTGTTTCTGTCCCATCGTCTGTCCTTCTTTGTCCCATCATCTGTCCTGTCTCTGTCCAATCATCTGTCCTGTCTCTGTCCCATCATCTGTCCTGTTTTTGTCCCATCATCTGTCCTGTCTCTGTCCCATCATCTGTCCTGTCTCTGTCCCATCATCTGTCCTGTTTCTGTCCCATCAATTGTGCTGTTTCTGTCCCATCATCTGTCCTGTTTCTGTCCCATCATCTGTCCTGTCTCTGT